AACCTAAAAATTTACAGCCAATTTTGAAAGAGATGCATCTTAGCTCTGGAAATTGTTATTGAATATGTCAATGCTGTTGTAATGAAATGCTTCTTCTAATTATATGGTTATTAAATAATTTTTTTTAAAAAAGGAGAAAATTCTGTCAAAAAAATAAATAAAATATTTTTTAAAAAATCTTGCTACCTCCACACCCAAATGCTGAAATTAAAGGCAATGCTGGGATTACAGATGTGCACCAAAATGCCCAGTTTATGTGCTACTGGGGATCAAACTCAGGGTTTCATGTTCTGCTAAGCAAGCACTCTCCCAACTGAGCTATATCCCCAGCATCCCAAAAATAATTTCCTTACAATAGAATGCCAGCAAATAAATATAGAAAGAATGGGAGAACTAGGAAATCATCATTTTTAATCAGCAATGTAAAAGTGTATTCAGGCAGAAGGTATCAATGGATGGTCAAGCTACTGGATAAGTGCTTCTTGGGGAACAGTCTTTTTCTATGTGCTCATAGTATCCATTATGGATTACTTAATAATGACAAAGAGGAAAAGGTAATGACAACGGAGTGATCTAGCAGATACATTTACCAAGTGATTAATCTATCCTGGCACAGCCACTGGACACTATGGGTGTCCTGTAGTGAGGCAACAGGACATACACAGCAGTATACGGGCAACATTTTTTTGTGTGTATCCAAAATGCTTGATGTTAGCAGTTAAAAAAAAAAAAAAAAAAAAAAAAAACAGAATTCCAGAATGTGGGACATTCCCCAGAAACCTACTATCTTTTTCAAGGATGTCAATGAAACACAAAACAGATAAAGTGACTGTTTTAAATAAGAGATTACAAAGTGTGAACAACCAAATACAGTGTACATCCACTAGTTGGCTCTCAGAAGGAGACAGATGGGAAACAGCAAGAAAGATTTCTGTCGAGCTGGCAAAATCTGAACATAAACTATGAATTGGATGGCAAATGGAGCCAGTATTAAATGCCTGGATATAATGGTGGTAACAAAACATTCCATTAAACACATATTCAAAAGCTGGGTGTGGTGGTGCATGCCTATAATCCCAGAAGGTACAGCAGGAAGGATCAGGAGTTCAAGGTCAACCTAAGCTGTACAAGCCAGCCTGAACCGAACACAGCATATTCAGTATACACACATACATACAAAATCTTCACATATGCATTTTCCATAAGGCTGTTTCTAGTTAGCAAGTTGAGAATGATTGTTTTGTTTTTTCAGGGTTTTGTATAATAAATATTTCAGGACTTTGTATAATAAATGCTTACTGATAATAAAGTCAACCTAAATTGTTTTTGAAATTGCATTCTGTTGTATAGGCTTTCTTATATCTTAAGTTGCATCATTTATACATATTAATTATTAAAATAACAGAAAAATGTTAAAGATGAGAGAAAACTTAGAAATTATATCTGCAACAGATAAAGAGTGAAATAGTTTACCATATAAGAACCTTTTAGGAACATATATCAAATTTTTAACAGTGGGAGACTTTCATTTTGTATTATAAACTTTTTTTTTTTAATGTGTATGTGTGTATTGCCTGCATGTAGATAAGTGCACCCATGTCATGCAATGCCCACAGAGGAGGACAGAAGAGACTGTCGAATTCCCTGGGACTGGAGTTACGGACAGTTGTTAGCTGCCATGTGGGTGCTGGGATTCGAACCCGGGTCTTCTGCAAGAACAGTCAGTGTTAACTGCAGAGCCATCTCTCCAGCCCCTGTATTACAAACTTCTGTGTCAGGAATTTTTGTAATGCATATTTTTGTTGCTTTTTATAAGTATATTCAATAATATATTATTTTAAATTAACTGCTCTAAAAATTAATGAAAAATACATTAAATCTCCAAATAGAAGAAGCAAAAAACAAGTTTGTAATCAAGAGAAAAATTAAGTTTCATAATTTTTGAAAATCAGTAAGTAAAAATGTAAAATGATATATCATTAATTATCTAAGAACCTGGAAATGAGAGCAGAAGGGGGGAGGGGAGTCAGTGCTACTGTTCATTCCTGAGGTACAAAACAGATAGAACTTCCTAAGGAGAAAATAGGAGAAGCAGCTTTAGAACTTCCTTTTGTAGCAACTACAGCTTTACACTTTTCCTAAAAAATCAGAGTTGGGTTCAAAGAGAAAAACTGTAAGACAGTTCATAATGGTTTGACTTATAATTTTAAAATTATAAGTCTTAAAAATTTTGTCAGTTGGGGCTGGAGAGATGGCTCAGCAGTTAAGAACACTGGCTATTCTTACAGAAGACCCGGGTTTGAATCCCAGCACCCACATGGCGACTAACAACTGTCCATAACTCCAGTCCCAAGGGATCTGACAGCCTCTTCTGACCTCCGAGGGCATTGCATGACACGGGTGCACTTACCTACATGCAGGCAGTACACACATACACATAAAAAATTTTTTTTAAAAAGACAAAAAAAAATTCTGTCAGTTATAAAGCAGTCATTAGAAGCCATATTTAGGATAACATCTAATGACTAAGAAAATACTCATTCTCTTTCTTTTTTGGAGACAGGGTCCCATTATGTAACCCTGATTGGCCTGGAACTAGCTATGTGGACCAGGCTGGCCCAATTCATAGAGCTCTACCTGCCTCTGCCTCCCGAGTGCTGGGATCAAAAGTTTGCAGCACCAGACTCCTATTGTTTTTAAAGTATAATGTGTATGTATGTGTAGGTGTATATGTGTTATAAGCTCATGTGGAGGCTAGAGGACAAGACTGAGTATCATCCTCAGAAATGTCATTCACCTCTTTTAAGACAGGGTCTCTCTCACTGGTTTGGAACTCACCAATTAAAACAAACAGGCTGGCCAGTGAGTCTCAGGGTCCACTTGTCTCTGCCTTACTAGCATTAGGGTTACAAGTGCCAGTCACTGTGCCCAGCTGTTTCCATATGGGTGCTAAACATCAAACTCAGGTCCTCACACTGTGAGGCAAGCACTTTGCCAATAGCTATCCTCTCTATACTATTTAAAAACAAAAATAATATAGGATTATATACTACCAATATTTTTAATTTTTTTTTTTTTGCCTTTTTTGAGACAGGGTCTCCCTGTAGCCCCAGCTGTCCTGGAACTCACTATGTAGACCAGGCTGGCCTCAAACTCACAAAGATCCACCTGCCTCTGCCTCCCAAGTGCTGGGATTAAAGGCATGCGCCACCACGCCCGACCCTTAAATATTTTATATATTACGTGTATTGTTATATCATAGTATATGTGTATATAATATAGACATGTAATGCCAAAAATACACTTTTATGCAATAATATAGTATTTATATACTACATAGTATTTGCTATATTAAAATTCTATACTTTGCACATAGTATATATGTTAAATATTTATTAATGCTTACAAGCAATGTATATTTATTCATTTATTAGATGGACACTTTTTTGGAGGACAGGGTTTTACTACATAACTCAGGCTGGCACTGAACTCACTATGTAGTCCAGGCTGGCCTCAAACTCACAATCCTCCTGCCTTAGCCTTCCAAGTACTGAGACTGCAAACATGGGCCACTGTGCCCAGCTTCAATGCATATATATTTGAACTGCTGGGAAGAAATATAACAGAATATTGCTACTATCTCTTTCTGAATCATGAAATTATACATCATCTTTATTCTCTTTATTGTCATTTGGAGCAAGGGTCTAACTATGTAGTCCAGGCTAGCCTTCAACCCAAAATACTCTTAAGTACTCGGATATAATCATGTACAACCAAATCAGTCTTCCCAGAAGTACAACAACAACAACAACAACAACAAAATGTTTGAAAACCTCAACAGGAATTACTAGAAATCTGAACCTACATGACTGACTTTAGAGGGCAGTTCTCTGGTGTTTAAGAAAGTCCATCCCTGGGGGGAGGAGTGCAGTGTGTTCCCTGCCCTATGTTTGTCAAGCTCTGCTCCAGCAGGATGCATGGGCTAAGCATTCTTTAGCCACTTCAGCCAGGGCATCACAGTCCTCCAGAAGTCACCCACATCCATGTGCCTCTCCCACGTGTGCAGTCTGACTAGTGAGTGTGTCCAGACATCCATGAATCATCAGGAGCTGGTACAACAAACACACTCCTGGAATGTACAGGCAATTAAACACAATGTAATTAGAGAGAATAACTATTAAATAAACCAAGTCAGTGACACACAGCAGCCATATGGCAGAATGAGGCCTTCCTAAAGCAATTTCCTGATTTGACAGCAGCATGCATCATGAGGTCTATGTTACTTAAAAGTTTACAGTGCTTTTGATATAGATGGAAAACAGCTGGAAAAATACAATGTGCCACACACTGTTTACCCAAATAGATAAGCTGTGCTTTGCTCTCAACCAGTCACAGAGAAAGTCAATTTTCTCTACAGTCACCATCAGTCATATCATGACTGAATGGCTCCTTCAAAGTTCCCCTCTAACTTAAATGTTTTTTTTTTTATTAAATGTTTCTGTAAACTACTTTTGAGGTTGAACTGTCTGAGGTTTTGATTTGAAAGGAAGAAGAGCCGACCAGTGAAACCTGCTGCCTGCTCACTGCCATTCATGTCTCCCTGCCTCACACTGAGCCTCTCCACATTCTAAGGCACTGTAGCAGAAGTGTCCATTGCGCTTGGAGCTTGCAAAGTGCCTGGGCAGTACTATGGCTAGGAATATACAGAATACCCACTTCCCCACAAGTACTGTTTTCATAGAAAAGCCTTCTAGGAGAGCAGAGAAACACTGACTCTTTCCCTTCTGTACAATCAGTTACTTGAGATGGCAAACAAACTCAGGCCCCCAAAAGCAAGTAAAGGCAAACCCAAGAGGATGAGGAAGGAATGTTTACGTGGGTGGGGGAGCAGTGCCATCTCCAGGCCCTTAGCGAAATGGGCAGTGGTGTCATAGAACTCCAGCAGTCTAGTGAGCTCCAGCTCAGGTCCCACCCTCTCTACACCTGCACTGAGGCACATGGGCAGAGAAGGCACCAAGGCTCCCAGGGTCTGAATCAGCAGCACGGTCACCACCTCCTGGGGGTTCCTGAAAACCTGTAGTGGGAGAGAGGTCTTGCATTAGCACATAGGATATACAGAAAGGAATCTTCCAAATAAGCTGTCTCCTGGCACAACTGAACTTCGGCCAATCAGGAGCTGTCCCTCACTGCAAACTGGACATGCCCAGGATGGAATGTAGCAGAAGCTGCACTTTGGCCAGAACAACTGACAACTTCATGCACCTCCCTGTCCAGGCTTACCAAATGCCATCAGGTACTTTTGAAATGGTCACCAGAAACTAGAGAGAACTCAAGGTAAAAAGAAAATGGAGAGACTGAAAGGGGAAGCAAAACACAATGAGAGGAATTCACTGATCAGAATTGGAAGGGTCTGTATAGACACGGAGTCTGGTCTGAAGCCACTTCTTGTCACAGATCTTTGGCCCACACAGCTTCTCTTTTTTTGAGACAGGGTCTCCCTGTAGTCCCAGCTGGCCTCGAACACTCTATGTAGACCAGGCTGGCCTCAAACTCAAGAGATCTGGCTGCCTCTGCCTCCCAAGTGGTGGAATTAAAGGCATGTGCCACCATGCCCAGCAGCTTCTCTTTTTTCAAAACATTATTTACTTTTATTTTATATGTATGATTGTTATGCCTGCATATACGTAAGTACACCCATGTCATGTAATACCCACAGAGGGTGTCAGATCCCCTGGAACTGGAGTTATGGACAGCTGTTAGCTGCCATGTGGGTGCTGGGATACGAACCCAGGTCCTCTGCAAGAACAGCCAGTGCTCTTAACCATTGAGCAATCTCTCCAGCCCCCACACAGCTTCTCTTACATACCAATGGATCTAGATTTGTTTAGATCATTCACTTCCTCACTGATAGTCTCCATTTCCAATCTCAGTTCTTTAGGTCTCTTGGGGAAAACTTGAATGATGTATAAAGTCCATTTAGAAGATATTTTCATCTCCCTGTATCAATTAAATACCTTTTTGCTACAACTTAAATAGGTACAAACACGAAGTGAAATGTAAGAACTATTCTTAGAAAAACCTAAGGCCAAATGGGGTAAATGTGAAACCATACATTCAAAAAACTCAAACTTCATGAGGTAGAGACAGGCGGATCTGAGTTCAAGGCTGGCTTGGTCTACATAGTGAGTTCCAGGCCAGCTGGGGCTACAGAGACCCTGCCTCAAAAAGAATACACCCTCCCCCCCAAAAAAACGGACAGTAAAAACTTACAGGACATACCAGAATGAAGAGGGAAATTTATAGCTATAAATGCATACAATAAAAATTTATCAAATTAATAATCTAACTATGATATATTAAAGAACTAGAGGGGCTGAGGTATAATTCAGTTGACAGAGTGCTTTCCTATTTACTATGCATGATGCCCTGGTTCCATCCCCAGCATCACACATAAACCTAGGTGGGGTGGCACCTCCTGTAATCCAGCACTTTGGAAGTGGAGGCAAGCAAATCAGAAGTTCAAAGCCATCCTCGGCTTACACAACAAATACAAGGCCAGCCTGGGATACATAATGAGAGTCTATCCCCCCAAAAAAGAGAAAAATCAAGAACTAGAACTAGAAAAAGAGCAAACTAAACCTAAAGCAAAACAAAAAACAAAACAAAAACCTGAGGTTTTAAAGCAGAGACAAAGAACAGAAAATTGATGCATAAAATTAATACCAGAAGTTGGCTTTTTGGGAAAGAACTATAAAATTGGCAACCTTTACCTAAAATGACTAAGAAAATAAGATAGAATATTCAAATTACTAAAATCAGATATGAAGATAGGTACACCATCACCATTTTTACAAAAATAAAATGCATGCCAAGATTACAAGGAAACACTACAAACAACTGCATGCCAGCACACTGAACACCAGACATAATGCTAGAACCACTAACTGCCAAAGCTAGCTCCTGAGGAAAGAGAAACTGAATAGGCCCAAAGCTAGTAAGGAAACTGAATCAGCAGCCAGCAATGGCCAGATCACTAGATATGCAATCCCAGTGCTTAGGAGGTAGAGGTAGAAGACTAGGAGTTTAAGGCTAGCCTGGAATACATGAGACTCTGTCTCAAAACAAACAAGCCAAAAGAGTTCAAATAAAGATCAGAATTGATGGTGCTTTACTAGTGAACTCTGCAAACAAAGAAAAATTAACACCAATCCTCCCAAGACACTGAAAACAATGAAGGAGCATCTTACAGTCTGAACTGTGTCTCCCTAAAATTCTATGTTAAAGTCTTAATTACCAAATACCGTAAACATGACTATATTTGGAGATAGCCCCTTTAAAGAGGTCATGAAAATACTATGGGGCCACATGGATGGGTATGCTCTAACCCAGTACCAATGGTCTCCTGGATAAGACAATCGAAATGTTTGGAAGGAAGACCCAGGGAGAAGATGGAAAGACAAGCCAGGCATGGTGGCACCCACTTTTAATGCCAGCACTCAAGAGGCAGGCAGGATCTCTGTGAGATCAAGGTTAGCCTGGTCTATAGTAAGTTCCAGGCCAGTTGCAGCTACAGGAAGACCCTGTCAAAAGAGAGAGAGAGAGACAGAGAGAGAGAAATACCTGCAAACACCTTACTCTTAGACTTAGACTTGTAGCCTCCAGAATTCTGAGAAAATTAGTGTTGTTTAAACTGCCCAGACTAAGGAATTTGGTTATGGCAGCAGTTAGACTAATAGAATACTTCCACCCAATTCTGTGCAGTCAATACAAAAACCAGAGGAAAACACTGCAAGAAAAAAAATGCCAAGACCATTTAACAGAGAAAGTGTAATCTTGACAATGAATGGTGCTCAGAAAACTGAGTATCCTCTAACAAAAGGAAAGAAATTAGAACTCTTGTCAGGTGTGGTGGCGCATGCCTTTTATCCCAGCACTTGGGAGGCAGAGGCAGGTGGATCTCTGTGAGTTCAAGGCCAGCCTGGTCTATGTATGTAGTGAGTTCTATCTAGGCCAGCTGGGGCTACTGGGAGACCCCGTCTCAAAAAGACCAAAAAGAAAAAGAAAAGAAATTAGAACTCTTACTGTACACTATATATGTCAACTTAGAATGGATTAAAGACCACTAGCAACTGACCATAGGTAGTTGTAAATGTGATCCAAAATATTCTCATATTTTTTCTTAATTTCTCTGAGAATTAACAACATTTCATAGGACATTTGTTTCATTTGATGGCTATCATTCTATGTATGATATGCTGCTTGGAGGATCCTGCTGGAGTCTGAAAGAGCAGAGAGCCAAGCAATCCAATAAAAACACCAAACAGCTCAATGGCTATTCTGCTCCAACTTGTACTCCCTGAGCAAGTCTTCCAACCACAACCTTCTTTGCTGCTGCTAACCACTCTTACCTGGAATTTAAAAGCACCCCAGGGCTGATGAGATGGTTCAGGGGGTAAAGGCATTTATCTTGAAAGATGCAAGCTCAATACCCAAGACCCACAGAAAGGTGAAAGAACTGACTCCACTAAGTTGTCCTCTGATCTGCACAAGCAAGCTATTTCACTTGCGCACAAACATATATATCAAGCACACACAAAAATAAATTTATTTATTTTTATGTGTATGAGTGTTTTGTCTGCATGTGTATCAGTGCACCTGTGTCATGCAATGTCCACAGAGGCCAGAAAAAGGCATCAGATACCCTGGAACTGGAGTTTTTAAAAAATTCTATTTTTCTTTTATGTGTTCGAGTGTTTTGCCTACATGTGTTTAAGCACACCATGTGTGCAATGCCTGTGGAGGTCAGAAGAGGGCATTGGATCCCCTAGAACTGGACTTTGGGATGGTTCTTAGCCACCACGCAGGTGCTGGAAACCAAACCCAGGTCCTCTGCAAGAGATGTCAGTGCTCTTAACCGCTGAGCCATCTTTTCATCCTGATAAATTTTTTAAAGCACCCCAAACTGCAAGTCATTATTTTCCCACTGACTTCCCTAGACCTATCTCCCTTAACTTCCCTGTTTGTCAGTAATTTTCCCATTCACCAGGATGAAAATCTCCCTTTGACTTTCCTTTCTTTCAATCCTTGTACCAATTACCAATTACTTGTCCTTAGAACAAGTCCTAACAATTCTTGAACTTCTTCCTTTTTGCCTTTTTTTTTTGGTCTTTTTGAGACAGGGTCTCCCTGTAGCCCCAGCTGTCCTGGAACTCACTATGTAGACCAGGCTGGCCTTGAACTCACAGATACCTGCCTGCCTCTGCCTCCCGAGTGCTGGGATTAAAGGCGTGCGACACCACGCCCAGCTGCTTTTTCTTTTTTTGAGACAAGGTCTCACTCTGCAGCCCAGGCTGGCCTTGAACCTGCAGTAATTCTCCTGTCTCAGTTTCCCCAGTGATTGGATCTCAGGTATGAGCTGCTACACCTAGTTCTTGAACACCGCCATCACCATCCCGTATCAAGCAATGGTGCTTACCTTTCTCTGATCTTTCCTCATCAACTCACCATCCATATCACTACTGAATTCATTAATTTTAAATGTTACTTTAAAAATTCACTAGGCAGCCAGACATGGTGGTGCACACCTTAAATCCCAGCACTCGGGAGGCAGAGGCAGGCGGATCTCTGTGAGTTCAAGGCCAGCCTGGTCTACATAGTGAGTTCCAGGACAGCTGGGGCTACCAAGGAGACCCTGTCTCAAAAACACCAAAAAAAAAAAAAAAAAAAAACCCTCACTAGGCATAGTGGCACACACCTTTAGTCCCAGCACTTGGGAGGCAGACGGAGATGATCTCCGTAAGATCAAGGCCAGCCTGGTCTACATAGGGAGTTCCATGCTAGCTAGAGCTATGGGAAGACCCTGTCTCAAAAAGACCAAAAATAAAATAAAAATAAATAAAAATTTACATATGGAGCTGACTGATGTGATGACTCAGTGGGTAAGAGTGCCTGCCACTGGGACTGACAACCTGAGTTAGAGCCTTGGTGCCAAATGGTGGCCTTCTGAAAAGTTGTTCTGATGGTACACAGAATACATAAATGTTAAGAATTTTCTTGCATTTAAGTTTTTTAAAC